AGAGAAGAAGCTTGGTAGTTGCAAACTCTGTAGCTTTTTTATTGTTAACAACAGAAAAAGTTTGTTTGACAATATTGTTTCTCTTCTGGGATTTTTATTTGTGACTCAAAATTAGAAATTAGTAGCATTGCAAAAAGAAAAAAATAGTTTTAAATATATAAACTGACATTTTTGATTGATCAGTAATAGTGGAACTTGAGGGTGTTGACTGACAATGCACATTACATATGAAGATTCTAGTTTGGGTAGATATCTCGTACATATGAGAAGCATCAGAATCTACGAAGTAGTTTATACCATAAAGCGTAAGAAGATGTTTGATTTGCTGCTTGCACGATTGGAACAGAAGATGATGGGATAAAAGTTTGTGTGCTTACTTATTCGTTAGAATAACGTACCAGGAACTAATGGTTAACAGTATACACTAAATATAATAGTGCGAAATGCAAGTATTACGTCCGATGTCGCTGTTTTGAAATCCAAATAGTCACAATATATTTCTGAGTAGTTTTAGACAAGTTTGATTACTGAACCTGGAATTAACTCAACACCCATGTCTCTTAACAATATTTCTATCTTCCTTTCTTTCACGAGAACCTGTAGATTGGAATGGTATGAGATCCAGTAGGAAGAAATTTCGAGATTCCAGTACAGATCTTTTACTGGACAAATCCTCAGTGGTCAGTCCCTAGCCAGTGACTTTAGAAACTAGGTTACATTTTGGGTGCAGCCAAATAACTCTTTCTCTCTCTTTCTCTCTCTCTCTCTCTCTCTGTATGTGTGTGTGTGTCGTCTCTTACGGTTGTTACATGGCTTGTACGGAAATTCTCAAAAAGAAGATGGATCGAGCCAATAGATGTGTATTTTTAAGAATTTCTTTCACGGATAGACATAGTCTCTTAATAACTCGTTCCACTTAACATGAATTCGTGATATATAAGTTAGTAATCTCTATCCGTAGCTACATGTACCTACATCTATTTGTCTGAATATCATTATTAGCTTGTTTCATTATTTTTAAGAGGAGGAGGAGGATGACATAAGTTTAACATTTTTATCAATGATTTTTATTTTTGCTATAAGAAATTATTGACAGTAATTTGTGTCTAAGTCAAGTTCTGTGTTATTTTTAAATAACCACATAATTTAAGATTCCTATTTAGTTTTGTATGCATTTTAGAGTAATTTAATTAGGAATATTTTTTGTTTTGTTTCTTTATGAGTCATTTATTATTAAGCTGTGGTTATTTAATTGTTTTATAATTTCCAAAGACCTTCTCTCATGCACTTGAATGACTCTCCTAAATTGTATACAGCTGCTCTTTGATGACAGGTTGTAAATAGTCGTAATTAACATACGTACAGTTATTTTTATTACATGTACACAGGGTCTTTTGCTCAGTAGTAAAAATCGCAGGAGCGAAACAAATCTATGTTAATCGTTATTATTAAATATAAATTGCGGTGCGGAATATTTTTTTTATTCATTTAGTTTGAGTGGGGTTATATGAAATTTCAGAAAGGTAACGATTGCCAATTGCCTAATAGGTATCTACTCAGTGCTATCTATCTATCTATCTATCTATCTATCTATCTATCTATCTATCTATCTATCTATCTATCTATCCCTATATATATATATATATATATATATATATATATATATATATATATATATATATATATATATTTGGGCACAAACCATTCATTCATTTAAACATGTTTCGTTGAATATGACAGACAAGAAAAAATTAATTAATCTTTTTATTTAGTTCTTCCCGTATTCTTATATTCTTTCCCATTTGGTGGTAGTAAGAGAGTGCAAAATTTGTCCATATTGTCCATTGTCCCAAGGGTTTTCGACCACTTCTTTAGCCATTTCAATAGGTTTTTTGTGGGTGTTGTTAATTTCCCTTCATATTTGCCTGTATAAGATGTGGTTTTGTGTTCTTTGAATACTAGTAGGGGCATTTATTCCGAGCTTCACATGTTGAGCGCGGTTGGAATACAAGTAAATGTCTTTCTACTGCTTTTTTTTAGAATTCAACATCCTATTATAATTGTTGAATAAAGTGAGGTTGACAGTGGGAGCGTGATGTATTATATACAGGCCTCTCTCACAAACGAAATATCTCTGGTAATTTGATTTATATAGACTTTTTGTGTTTTCGACAGGAATTTTCCTTAAGGGCTCTTGTAAATCATGAGTAGGTAGATATTTTTATGGTACTTTGATCTGATAAGTAACATGTGAGACGTCTACTCAAGGACACGGTAGTATGTCCGATATAGGTAATTGATTTTTGACAAGAAATATAGTCTTCTACTGGGTAGTGAAATTGATACACTGTATTGGTCATCGCTAGTTTAGATTGGATGGTGCTATTTTGATTAGTGATAACAAGGTATGCCAGTTTCCCTTTTCTGTAATATATTATGAATTTTACATGCTTTTGGATTATATATATATATATATATATATATATATATATATATATATATATATATATATATGAATGAGAGGATGATAAGGGGCGCTAAAAGAGTACTGAATAAAAATAATCTAGTAAATATTTTTTCCAAGATTCTTTTATATTTTCAGCCATTGTAAGTTTTGTAATATTACTATCAAAAATATTTTAAGGCCAAAAATGCTAATGGCATATTAAAAAAAATCAGTTACGATAAAATATGAAAAAATATAAAGTGATTTTTATGGAGAATCATCAAATTTAGATTTAAATCTCTGCGAATGTCGAGATAGAGAAGAAAAAGACTTATGATACATTACTAAAGAAAACCTTTTCATTAAATGTATGTTCAAATTGTATAATACTAATATCTCGAATGAAGAGTAAAATAGTTTGGGAAATTGTTAGGCAAATCTGAGATTTCAATGTTCAAATAATAGCAAAATAATTTTATAATATTCTCGTAATCCAGCATTGTCAGATTATGAAAAGGAAGTTTTTCTTGGTTAATCTGGAGATGGAATAAACCAGCCTCAAACAAGATCGAAACAGAGGATCCCGCTTTCAACGATGAAAGGCAAGATCTTACAATTAACTAAGACAGGAGAAGAAAACCACCGTGTCACGTTCAGCTTTTTCGAGACAATCAGAAAATTGAAAAAAAAAAAAACCCTCTACAGCAAAGTAGAATAGGAATAATGCTCTTCATCCTCTGGCTTATTATGACAGAGCAGCCAGAAGAAAGCCACTTTTGAAACTAATATCACTAATCACTGAGAGAGGCTTTTCAATATTTACTAATAGATATTTGGACAAAGAAAATCTACTTGTTTGTAGAGAATGGGACTTTATGTGAAAAAGGCACGAAAATGACACATTAAGGAAAGTATTAAATAACTTTTATGGTCATAATCTGACATAAATCTTCATCCCGAAATGGAACCATGAAATATGGAAAATGTTTATAAAGAAAATTCATTTCACCGTTTGAATAAATCCGTGTTGAATATCTCCTAAAAAAAAAAACAATAGCAAATCTCAGAAGCCTAAATGAATAAAATGTTCAATATTTGTGAAATTCACCAAATTAATATTATTTAATTGCTTACATAATTGAATAAAGGCTTTTGCGTAAAAATCTTTTCGCATACACACACACGCACACGGGCTCACACGCACATACATTCATACACGCATGCATAAGATATATAATAATTCTTAATATGATATATATATATATATATATATATATATATATATAAGAAGCACTCTGTAGTTAGTAGATTCTTTGCAGAAATAATATTATAAATCAGTCTTCATTCCGTTCGTATTAGATCATCTTAAAAGGCGGAGAAAATGGCGAAAAAAAAAACACTGTATTCAGTTCGATTTGAATTCAGTGATTGCGAAATCTTTTGTACAAGATTTGGACTCATTTATCTTGGAAGACGAAGAGCAAATCTCGGCGGGCCTTAATCTTGTCAGAAGCATAAATGTCGTAGACGGATCAATAAATTTGCAGGCTTGAATATCCCCTTATTTACAGTTATTTACATCAACGTTGGTCAAAATCTTATACATAATTAATTTTTGCCCAATGAATAATGAAGCCTTCTTTTTGAACGTGACTCCTCTGGTGCCGAATTTGAACCAACGATTTCGATAATTGAAAAGTAAAGGCAACAGTATAAAGCAACATTTTATACGGTGACTTAAGTCTGATGCGACACGTTTGCAGTGAGACTGATAGCAGCAGGCATTTTAATAGATTCATAATCATCTTAGTCAAAAACTTGATAGATAAAATAGTTAGCAGAAGTGGGTGTCTGATCCTATTAGATTCATAGATTTTTATGGTAAGTATGCTCTTCTCACTTAGAATATTGGCGCAACACAATCATCTTACCCTTACTTCTTTCCATTGTTGTATTGGTATATATTAAATGAACCTAATCGTAGTTATTCGTTCAATTTTAAACCTGATATTTTCAGAAGACAAATAAAGGAACACGCCAACATGATTATCAGATGAGCCTGATACTCTCATTTATTGCCATTGCAAGCATCGTCCTTATCTTCTTTCGTTTACTCTTTTTTTCTCCCTCTTCTTTTTTTCTTATTTTTAACTGTCAGTAATATAAATCATGTGTATCTTTGGAAATGAAATCTAAAAGTCATTCCCCTGTATAAACTCGCGTACAAGGCAAATACACAAATTATACAAAACAATCCAATAGAACGACATAGATGCGTAAATATACTGAGTTGATCTTCAATGGGCGGGGTGGTGTGTCTAAGTACGTGTATATGTAAGGGTTGGGAACAGAGGAATGGATTCTCAACTCTAGCCCTATACCCTACCTGTCAACATCTAACTCCAGAAATTTGGGGAAATCCGATCGCACCAAACCGTCACTATTCTAACTTGGCCATTTTACTTACCATGATGTCAAGTCCTAACAGAGTGGGCGTCTTATTGACTTCTTTTTCATCAATCTTTCTCATTTTTCTGTTGTCTTTCCACTCATTATGTTCCCCCTTTCTTCATTTCTTACTACCCATTCTTTGTTTTCTTCTTTCATTATCTTCTTTTATACTTTTTTCGTGAGCAAAACACTATATTCGGAAAGTTTTTTCCTTTTCCTTTTCTTGACACAGTTGTCTGCCCTTCTCTGTGCTAATTTTTTTTGGGGCGGGGGGGGTGATGAGACGTTCTTTGTCCGACCCACTTTCCAAAATCTCACAAATCACCAAAGATCATAAATTTTTGGGAAATGCTTTTTGGTCAGACCGAGAGCACCCCATCGCAAACAAGTCATACAGTTGTCTTTACTCATTCGCTCTTTTTGAGTTCCGAATTTTACCATCGCACGCGCACACACACACATGCAAAGAGAGAGAGAGAGAGAGAGAGAGAGAGAGAGAGAGAGTGTATGTGTGTGTGTGTGTGTGTGTGAGACAGAGAGAGTGTGTATGTGTGAGAGAGAGAGAGAGAGAGAGAGAGAGAAATATATCTTCATATGTTCACACTGTGAGCATCCAATCACTATGAAAAAAAAAAACAAATCAGTTAAAATTTCTTAAACAGTTTTAATAATGAAGTCACAGTTTAATATTGAGCAATGCTATAATTACATAATATAATATAAATTCACGATATCATTCAGTTTAATGCATTTTAAATATTTAGTGGCCCCCGGGCAACTTTGTCATTTAACCACATGCGCTTAAAACATTTGATATTATCTCGCTTGAAATATCTTGTTTAAAACTACTGACAATATTTCAATAGTTGTTTTTTTTTTTAATATTCATTTCTTTTCGTCTCTCTCAAGTTTATCTTTCTCGTCTCTTTTTCATGAATTCCTTATCTACCACTCTCATTTTTCTTATCTTACTTTCTATTTTTCAATTCTCTTTTATTGTCTCTTTTCCCGTTTGTCTTTCTCTCACACCCTTTCTCACTCTCTCTCTCTCTCTTTCTCTCTTTCTCTCTCTTTCTCTCTCTCTTTCTCTCTTTCTTACTCGATCATTTACTCACACACGCATGCACATTAATTTACTTTTTCTTTCTCTCTTTTGTGTGGAGTCATTGTTTGGCGTAATGATTCATTTCAATCTTTACTGTCTGTTCTTTTGTGCCAGATGTGCTTTAAACTGAGTAAATCGTGTTCCTTCATTTTTCACTCCTACTGTCTTGTTTCTTCTACCTTTTCTTTTTTTCTCTTTTTCTGAAATACTTTGGATATACGAGGGGGTGCTAATTTCTCAACCTGATCAAGAAGGATTAAGATATGTATTAATGTTTGGACATCTGGTTAGATTTTACGATGTTGGCCAGGCCGAGAACTTTTTCAGCACTCCAATTGCAACTCCTAAGCCTGTGTCTCTCTTTCCTCTCTTTCTTCTCATCCATATTATCTCTCTTCCGTTCGAGATTTTCTCTCTTCAAACCAATCCTTTTTTTTTTCTTTTTTTCTCATTTTATCTTCCTGCTCTATTTTTATTTTCTTCTTGTTTTCATCTTTTTTGTCCTTCATTTTTTCCATTTATTTCCACGTTTTCTAATTTCTTGCTTTCCCTTTTTTCCTCATTCCTTCTTCTTTTTGTTCATATCCTCCCAATGGCCCCTTTCGTCTCCCGTTTTCCTCCTCCCTTTTCTGATCCATCATCCTGCCAATAATGTCCCATTCTCTTTCTCCACCTATTCACTAAATAGAAGCCGCAAACAAGCGATGACATTGGGACGCTTGAACGGGGTGGTTTGGTGTAGTTTGTCTTCTGGAAAAGCAATTGACAAATACTTGAAGAGATGAATGACTCTTAATAGGGCAGAAACACACAATCGTTAAAAACAACAACAATCTTTTGACTAATGTTTATAAATTAAAAGTTTTAAAACGGAATTTTCAAGGGAGCACTTTGGTAAATTATCTCGCATTTATCTAGTGACGAGCAAGATTATTTAGTTTTACTTGAATTAAATTTATTTTATCACTAACAGTGACACTCTTACAAGATGTTTACCGTCATTTGTTAACAAAGGGCTACCTTGTCGTACAATTTTAAAACACGGTGTAAAATGTATTACTGACAAGTATTTACTCTCATCGTAATTTTTAGTTGCAGCTGTGTTCAGGTCGTCGATTTACAGCAATGAGTAGATACTGCGACTCGGAAATAAATGAACAGCACTCAGTGGGGCACACCTTTTACCTTACAAAAGCTTCGTTAGACGCATCCCTTGATTTAACCGACTAAGCGACGAGAACTCAACAGCTTGGCAAAAGATCACATCTAGCATACAAAGCCAACATTTATTCATTCGCTATATTTGCTTTTCCACTAGTATTATTGGTAGCAGAAATATTATCTTTATTTTTATTACCATTGTCAACCATTATTATTAATTTTGCCATGTATTTAATTTCAGCTGAATTTGTTTTAGTTTATTTTTGTTTGTTACTGTTAATGAAATTTCTCTATCGATTTTTCATTCAGTGAATCAATCATTTAATGCGTTATTCATTTTTAACTCATCTTTCTTTCATCTTATTTATGTGGCTTTTTATCGCAAGTCACATTCTATGACCTTTGAGTAAAAAGTGGGGTATAAAGAATAAGCCTCTGGCAAAAATTGAACATTTACTTGGGAACCTGTCTTTCTGTGATAACGCCGTTACCGGTTTGGAAGACGGCGTTCAAATAAGCTATGATGATGATGATGTTTTCTTTTTGTTATTTCTCCAATTCCCTCTCTTGCCTAAGAAATTATAATTAATAACTTCACTTTTTCAATTTTTTAAAAAATGTTTTCGGTGTGATAATGAAAAGAGAGATAAAAAAAACAATGAAATAAGAAAATGAAGAAATAAATTGAGAAAAGAAAAAACTAAAGAGAAAAAATAAAAAATAAAATAGCCAAAAAGATAGAGCCAGAGTTAAAAATAAGATGAAAGTGTGGGAATATATATATATATATATATATATATATATATATATAATTATTTAAAAAAAAATATGATTCCATTACATAAGAGTTCTCATGTTTCAAAAACTGGAGCTAAAAACTTCAATTTAATTATAAAAATTAAATTGAATTAAAGTATGAAGCTCTGTTTCATCTTCAAGCGAAATGTTTGGAATTTTTTCCAAAATTTTTTTTCCAAAAATTTATAATTTAGGCTCTACTTATGTATTGAGCACTGTTTTTTTTTTTTTTTTAATAAAAACAAAAATACTAAAAAAACTTCGGATTATTAACCTAACTGTGCTTTCCTATTTTTCTATATATTTGCACACACACACACACACGCGCGCGCTTGTGTGTGTTAAAGAAATGCAGATAAATGTAGATAAAATATGGATCAGAATCCGACAGGATGATAAGATGAAGAACAAATAGGAAATGTATTTGAATTTTATTAAAGTTACTTGACAGATTGTTTTTTTCTCATAATCTCCGACGAAACTTTAATAAAAGTGGAACATGTTATAGATTGATATATATATATATATATATATATATATATATATATATATATATATATATATATATCTACCAGTGAGACCATCTTCAACGAAGACAAGGATGATTATGAAACAGCCCTGAAACAGATAGTGGATTTAAGGAAACATATACACAACACATACCATAAAAAAAAGCTACCGGGAAAAAAAAAAATAAACCTCATAGTTTAACTCAACGTACAACATAAATGTAAATACAAATGTAGGAAAAATATTAATTAAACTCATACACAAACACCCCCAGCATCAAGCACTCCCCACAAGATATTCAACAAAAACGCAGTAAAAATCAGCTACAGTTGCACTGAGAACATGACACAAATAAGAAAAACGTACACGAAAACAATCAACAAACTATACGCACAAATGAAACTCACGTGTAACTACAGAGCAAACAATGAATGTCCCATAAATGGCAATTGCTTGCAGAACAATGTAATAATATACGAAACCACTGTAAAACCGACAGAACGAAGAAAAATATACATAGGAGTAACTTAAGCTTCCTAGAAACACTGTATTGAGGAGAAAATAACTATAATTACCTTCACAAACCAACACAAATTACTAAATAAACGAACAAAATTGAATAAATGAATAAAAATAAACAAATAAAATAAATAAATGAATAAAAAAAATCCAAATCACTAAATAAGTAAATATATTAAGTAAATAATAAACAAATAAACAAACTCGAACGTACACATAAGCACTAATAAATGTAATGATAACCAACAAAAAGAAATAATAAAATAATCAATAATAAATAATGCGTAAAAAGGTTAACAAACAACACTACAAAACAGCCACAAAACTACATTCGGATTCACAATTATTTTCACTCAATATCCCCTAGAATAATTCGAAACCGTTACTGCTCACCCAAATAACCAAATACAACAGACCTACCCATAACACACCACAGACAAGCATATATAGATAGTCGAGCCAAAACACAACGCAAAAGGGTCAAAACAAAATAATGAAATGAAAATAACAGCACACCAGCAAGATCAAAATTACAACGAACGAACATTATCTATAAATTATACTGCCACCTAGCCGCGTAGTTGCAAGGGAGATAATTAGAGTTATTAGTGTAGCATAGTCAGCCGTAAAAAATTCAGAAATTATATATAAATTGTCATTTGGTGCATTATATGTGAGTAAAGTTGGATGAAAATCCGACACAATGCCAAATATATAATTCATATTAAACCCATGAAAGTTTGATTTTAGCTTTGAGAAAAGTAAAAGTTGCGTTGAGAAAAGAAAAATAGAGAAAATAAATAAAAAATAAAAATTGAGTTGAAATTATTTAAAAGTTAATTTCTAAAACGATACAAGTAAAGTAAAAATCAAGCGTGAATCACGTTTTATCTTGCTAATGTAGATTTTGTATTCATGAAATAAAATCCTGTTATGATGAAGCTGGTTAATCGGCGGAACATGTCAAGGTAAACATTTTTGAAAAAAGTCTGGTACATTAACACTCTCTGTGTTGTGTATCTGTACTTCTAACATAAACTTGGTGAATATATATATATATATATATATATATATATATATATATATATATATATATATATATAGGATATAAATTTTGGATGAGAATCCGACGGTATGGTAAATATATGACATTTTGGAAATAATGTCAGATTAAAAGGTTTTCAGTTTGTCATATCTATATGTGTATGAAGGAGAGGAGCTTCATGACTGACAAAGTACAATTTTTAGCCTTTTATTCTTTATTCTGCCTGCCAACAAACAATTTACATTTTAGACTTTATGTTTTTATAAATTGTCCAAATATTTATTTATACCAAGCGCTTTCGGCTAATCTGTTTGCCATTTTCAAGGATTTATGCTTTTGTTTTTTGTTATTGTAAATGGTGTATCATTTAATTCCCGCACAGTCTACGTCTCAGAAAATGAAACTCAATTTACAAGAACAAAACCCCAAATAATTGAATATACTTAATAGATTAACCAGAAGCGCATTGTATAGACAAACATTTAAACAATTTCTATATATATATTGTCCAAAAGGTATATCTCTTGTTAGCAGGCAAGAAAAACATAATATCAAAAAATTAACCTTGTCAGTCATTTTAATGAAGGATACATTAGAAAGATATTGCATATATATATTTGTATGAATGATTCCTTTAATATAAATTGAACTGCACCACATATTTGATATAAAAAGAACTGCTCCGACGTGCAACTTCTTGGATAATAGCTGCGACATTGTTCTATATATTGAACAATTTAGTTCATGCCACATCGACTGAAAAAAAACTGCTACAACAAAAGAATTCTCCAGTTACCATATTAGTAAAAAAAACGCACTCTCTTTAAAATTTTCAAAAAATTCAACCTTAGCGTTGCGACCGCACACTCCAGAATTTCTTACAGTTAACAATAACACATTTCTAAAAAACATATTCCGATTCACATCTAATCTTTTGTGTCCCGTTATTACCTGGATGTATTTAAAAAAACAAATCAATGTCCATGCCTGATGATGTCTGTATGAACAGATGAAAGTACTAGCAAAAAAAAAAGACCTTATACAACAAGTTGAATTTATTAAAAACAGGGATCACAGCATTCATCTAGAGAGAGGTTCGTGGGTTAATGTAGTTTTAATAAATTTGTTTGCGAAGATGTATTCTCGCCATTTATATAATTAACTTCACTAATCTGTTTTTGTATGAATGATTCATATATATATATATATATATATATATATATATATATATATATATATATATATATATATATAGATAGATAGATAGATAGATGGATAGATAGATAGATATACTATAATTCAAAAGTTTGAAGCTACTCCCAGAATTAGCATGGAATGAACTTGACAGAAGAGTGAAAAAAAAAATGAAAAAGATCTCTCTGAGTCATTGAAAAAAGAATGGAATCAATTATCTAACTTAGACTTTCAGAAACTTTTGCAACGGATGCCAAAAATTTTTCTGCAGTAATCAAGGCTAAAGGAGGATATTTTGATAAGAGCGAAATTTAATCATAAAATGTGTTTTTTCTTTCTGTCAAAGATCATGTCTAACTTTTTTTAACTATTTAAAATTTTTTTAAAAGTCTTTAATAATTTCAACAAAATCTCAATATATTAGA